CCTAACATAAAGGGCAACTCCCCCTCCCCGCCTGCCAGGCCTGTCCTTTCTAAAGAGCCTGTAACCTTCCATTCCAACACTCCAGTCATAGGAGCCATCCCACCATGTTTCTGTGACGCCTATTATACCCCCGTAGACGTGCACACATCTCTAATTCCTCTTGTTTGTTCCCCATGCTATGGGCATTTGTATAGAGGCATCTGAGCCGAGCTCCAACTGAAACCGGCTCATTGGCTGGAGCGGCTGGGATATCTCTACATTGCTCAGAGCATTTTTTATAGGTTCTGGCAACTGACTGGGTGTGTTGGGATGGAATGATGCCCCCTCCCCCAACACATCTAGTTTAAAGCCTCCTTGACCAGTCTGGCAAGCCTCCTACAAAAACTGCTCTTTCCCTTTAGACCAGCTCCACCAGCCCCCACTAGACCTGGCCTACAAACTTGGGTCCTGTGTTCAAGGCACCCAAACTCCTGACTATGACACCACCCTTTTAACCATTTATTAACCTGGCTAATCCTCCTAGCTTTTTTTAGGTCCTCCCCTGTATCCTGGAGAATTGATGAAAAGACAACCTGAGCTCCAGAGCCCCTAACCACCTCCCCCAGGGCTCTGTAGTCCTTCTTTATGTTCCCCAGGCTACTACTATCTATATCCCTAGCACCCACATGTATCACCAGGAGTGGGTAATAGTCCGTGGGACTTACTAGAGCAGGCAGCCTCTCTGCCACATCCCTGATCTGTGCTCCCGGTAGGCAACACACCTCCCTTGAGACGGGGTCTGGCCCGCAGACGAGTGCTTCCGTCCCTTTCAGTGTAGAGTCCCCTTCTACTACGACCTGCCGCTTTTTCCTAGCGGCACCAGTAGAGATCTTCTTTAGCAGTGCATCAGTCGGCTGTTTCTGGCTCGAGTGCGTTTCCTCATTAGCCCCCTGCAGGACAGCAAAGCGGTTCTGCGTGGGGACAGGGGATTTAGGGGGAAGCCCCTTGCTTTTGGTTGTCCTTTTCCTTCTTGTTTTTGTTGTTTTTTTATCACTAATTCCCAGCTTCCCAGGTTAACGGCCTCCTTCTTTCCTTCATGAGGTAGAGGTGAAGCTCGAGGCCCCTGCACAGTTTGGGCCGGGAGCAAGCATTCCTGCTTCCTCTCAGCTTCCCTGACATCTCGCAGCCTATTAACAGCATCCCGCAGCTCAGCCCCTGCTGCAGGAGCACCTCCACCAGGGAGCACCGAGTGCAGCCCTGCCCATTGTGCACCCTCCCCTCACCAGACCCGTGCAGGCACTCTCTACACCCCGAGCTCTGCACTGCAGCCTCCCCTCTCATCGGCTCTGTCTGGGTGCCTCCGCTGGCCACCGCCGGGGCAGCCAGAGCAGAGCTCCCGGACCGGGCCCTGCTCATACACCGAGCGCTCACCATCCCGCTCGCCTGCCCGCACAAACCGCCTCCACCCGCTCTGCTCGCCTCGCTCCCTGGGCAGGTTTTTACCCAGTCAGGGCTGGTGCTGCTGCTCCTGGCTCCGCCCCGTGTGAGTCAGCTGCTCGCTCTCGTCAGCTGAGCTGCCGGCTCCCGGGCAGGTCCTGTCGAGGACTTGAGGCTCCCTCGGTGGCTCTCGCCGCTCTGAGTTGAGGCTCCCGGACGCTGATCTCCCCCCCGCTCCGGTGTTGAAGGCGTCCTCTCCCGAGCTACTCACCTCAGCAATTGACCAATGTCAATGTCATGTCCTGGGTGCACATTTGTAGTCTTTCAGGAAAAATACCTCCAATTATCTGAGTTTCCATGGAGGTCTGTAGAGGAAGACGTCATTCAATACCAGCCTCTAAACCATTTACTATCCAGTGTTGTGCTTAACAGCTTGGATTACATCCAGATGGAAAAATGGTGCAGTTGTGTCATTCCTTCAGACAGTTCTCCCCACTGTGGAAACATGGTCTGCTTTTGTGCTGCTAGCTGGAATAGATGACTGACTTAATTGCATTGCCATATTGCCACTTGCACGTGCAGTAGCTATGGTCTGTTAAGTAACTAGAAGCACGAGGTGTAGTTTATTGTGAGGTGGCAATAGGAAGGCCTGGTAGTGCCTCATGTTTGAACTATCTGGCATCTAAGGAGGTATGAACTCTAGTAGACGATTTCCCTCTTGCTGAGAAGGAATGGTTTATAATAGCTCTCCTCCATAGTGCCTAAAGAGGGTGAACTATCACAGCCTTCCCTTCAATACAGGCACTATATAGGATTTTTCTTCCCTTTAAGTGACGTATTTTCATTTGATTTTACTGAGCATTATTTCTTCAGTTTGCAGTAGCTGAGCTAAGAATAGCTGTTTGTTAACCTCTATTTGTCACTAGTCTGACACACTGAGAGTGATTTTGGTTTGTAAATGCTCACCCCCAAACAAAAATAAAACCCTGTCTGCCTGCACCAGCATCCTGACTGCCTACTAGATTTTCAGCAAAGAGCTAGAAGAATCTACAGGTGAAAGAAGGCTGTATTTCCTGACATAGCAGAGCCATAAGTGGGTATTTGTGACACTCTAGGGTTGCTCTTTGTAGGAAAGGTACCTGAGTAATCTAACTAATGTGACTCCTGCTCTCAGCTCTGGAAGACACACTGGGGGTCATACTGAGAGTGGGGTCACAGAAAATTGCTGTTCTCTGCACTGAGAACAATACTGGGCAATATGAAACAAAATCTAAGTGGGAGCAGCCACTTTTGTTTAGTGCTTTCCAGAACCAGAGGCAAAAAATACCTCCCCTGTCTATTAATGCACTGGGTATGTGGATGGCTCCCTCTGCACCTTTTCCACATTTCAGGTATGTTTGTATACTCCATTGCAGTCATCTACAAATGAGATTTATAGGGGCAGATTCCAATTCTGAATATTTGAATAGTCAGAATTGATTGTTGTATCTCACTGTACAGAGATGACATTCTCTTTGTTTCCACACAAAGACATGGATGTGTGGTGGGGGCAGGCAAAGGGGAATGTGGGAAAGGTGTAGAAAGATGAGGAAAAAGCCACCTGGAAAGGACAAATGGAAAAGGAGAGCATTCCACACACAAGCCTGCTTTGGCTCATGAATTTAACATGTGTGTAATGTTTCTTATGAGAAGTCATGTGAGCAATTTAAACTAGCCCCTAGGCAAGTCTAATCTGAACAAGCTGCTCTGAGACAAGCTACAAATTGCAGGGTTTAATAAAAAGGGTAGACCAGAGTCAACAGAGCAGCAGATAACACAGGAGGAGGAAAGGGCTAGTATAGTATTAGAACTTGAAATGAAGTCCCCATAAGCAGATCTTAATAATACATCACATTGAGACAGCAAAGACTGAAAATGAGATATTGTATTAAAATTCTGCACAATGGGGGGTGCATGTAATATAAGATATCCTGACATGTATTTTGTATCCATTAAGAGTAACTCTTATTTTAGCTCATTTGTACCCCTGCTGTGTCTTGCACTGTGTCCCTACCATTAGGTGTCACCGCTTCACAACAGTAGATTTCCTGAGGAGGTAGGTCTAGAAAGTCTGGTCTAATATAGCAAACGCAGCCTTTCTTTCTTAAGGGTTCCCAGGCTACTCCTACAAAAGGATTTTCCTAGGTAACAAGCTAAGCTACTGCAGCAGACAGCAAGAGTGATGCTGGATGAGACTGAGCAGATCCTGAAAGCCCTGGCATTGTTGGAACAGTTTGCTTTCAGTCTTTTAATATTGAAGTCCAACTTCAAGGTACATTCAGCCTCAACAGTGCAAAGGAAAGCTCCAGCCTGGCCTCCAGAGTGCCTTGCTTGCCTTATGCCTTGGCTCATCTTCCACTCATGGCTGGGAGTGAGCCTTTGCTGCTGCTCCTGATGGGCAATCAGCCTGCACGTGATGCAGCTTGGCTTCACAACACCTGCACCTGTCCAGCAGAACACTATCTGTGGATTCACAGGGCCCCATGTGACAGTGAGGTCAACATGCCTAGTTTTGTTTCATGATGAAAAGACAAATTGAAATACATTCTTCTCTGCCTCAGGTACCATAATGCTCTACAGTTTCCCCGTAAGGAGAGACTGTACTACAGGGAGTTAAACACTGTTAGTACAAAATTACCCTTATGAGAAGCAAGTGTCATCTACTTGGCAAAACAGATTCTGGAAATTACAGAAATATTTGTCAACTGGTCACATTATGGGGATGGCCAGCAATCTTCGCTGAAATTTCCATGAAGTTAAATAGGTCTTTATATGGAAGTTCTCATCATAAACTAGAAACAATGGCCAAAACATCTAGATCAACCAGATTAGGTCTGTGCCAGCTTGTATTCCTAACAAAACCTCAGGAAAACCTTGTAAATTGTTGGCTCTTGGTGCCACCACCTGACTCCACTCCCTGAAGACTGGGAGAGCTCCAGCCCCCTGAGCACAGTGGCCAGGGCAGGGGCATGAATTGCCAGACTGCAACTGGCAACGACTTTCCAATTAATTCAATACCTTTAAAAAACAAGAATTCTTTGGAAATCCAAGGTAAAAATTTCCTCTTGTAACCAGTATGCACCTAGCAACACAAACGAGTGACTGTTGGACAGAAAGTGGGTAACAATGTGGAATTAAAAATATTTGTAATCTTTGCTAATGGGCGAGTGCTCTGTCACACTAACTGCAGCCAGCAAGCTCATTTTGGCCTGAGTGTGGGCAGAGTCATTTCTCTGATGTGGCAACCTCTTCTGTACTGTTTGGAAAGCAACACCAACTTAACAAAGTGGGAGGCTCCCATGGTAATAGTCTTCTCTTCCTGCCTTCCACCCTCCCATTAGGGGGAAGCTAGAGTGCTTTCTTTATTTTCAATGTACTCTTACTTCTTATAGTAGCTGTATCCAAAGAGGCTGCAGAGGCTCCAGGATCCTTGGTTCTGCATATAGCCCATATGCCTTCCTCACAAAGCTTTGTAGTCAAAATCACAACATAGACAAAGGGGAAGCGAAAATGAGTCTGTGGCAGAGCCTGAACATGTACAATTGCTCCAAAGTCCCAGTCAGTGTCTGTGACAAGATCCACACTGAGCAGTGCTGTGTCCTTCCAGCCAGAAACAGGACAAACCAAGACCCCACCTCACTCAGTGTCTTCTCCCTGTTTAAGGAGAACAGCATAAGAAAGAAATATGAAGTGACTTTCCCCCTGGTGTAATCTCTCAGGTTATAGAAATCCACACGTTATAAATTTCAGGAGTTGGAAGCTGCATCCACTCAAAAACGTTTAAAGGCACTGTTAGATCTGGGCTTCATGACTGTTTAACTCTTTTGAACCTGCTTATACTCCCAGTGTCCACAACATCCTGTGGCAATGAGTTTCATAGTTTACATGGCTGCAATTGTACTCATTTAACTGCAAGAAAAGTACTTTCTTTTGCATGCCTGCTTGCCAAAAATTTCATTGGGTGCCTCCTAGTTCTCCTTTTATAAGGAACAATAAATAACCATTCCCAGTTCATCTTCTGCAGGCCACTTGTGGTTTTACAGACATCTATTTTAAAAAAAATGTTTAAAAATACATTCCCTGAGCTTTTATCAATGTCTTTACATAAACATACAACCTGTTTCATATTACTTGAGTCGGAGCCTACCATGGCTATTGTCCAACCACATATTTTAGCAACAAAAGCAAATATGTCCAGGTGAGCCTCTTGCATTGTTTTATGTATTTGTCTGGCAATATTGCTTCCTCTTTTTTAGGATTTGGTAGCAAGCACTTATTTAAAAGCAAGACTGGATGAATACTTCCCTCATTGGACTGTCTCAGACACTCAAGGTGCTCCAGAGCCTAAGTAACTGGAGAAAAAATCAGGACAAGGCGGAATCCTGCTGGATATTGGCAGTGAAAGAAGGGGAAGTGCTGTGAGCCCATGAGCTCGACTGACAGCCAGAAAATCTCACCTGCCAATGGGTGCGAGTCCCAGAAGGGCAGATAAACTTCCAATGCCTCTATGTGTGTACAGGAATCAACCTGGGGTTTGAGATTTGCTGCCAGCTGGGAGTAAGTATGGTGTGCAATTATACATTGATACAAGCTGAAGTCAAAACTGGGTGTAGCTGCTTACTTCTAATAAATATGGGGGGCTGTGCAGTGTGAAAGGTCATATGAAGGATTTGCTTTTGACAAGACTTATGTTGCTGGCCCAGAGGAAACAAAGGCTGCCCAGCATGTCTGTGCCTGCTTGTTTGCTCATTTCCTTGAGGTGGTTGGTAGACTTTCAGCTTCCTTCTGGCAGCCCATATATTGGTGTAAAATTTACCCTGCCAGGAGATGCTGGTAAGCTAAGGATGAGAATCAGCCAGAAAAAAACAACAACAACAAAAAAAAAACCAAACCCGAAAAAACAAACAAACAAAAAAACCCAATTAAAAAACCAATGTGTATATATATGTATATAAACACATAACAGGGGTGGGGAGTAGTGGAAAAAAACACCATTGAGAAGAGACAACTACTGACTCCCAGTAGAAATACTCTTTCTTATATTCTGGGAGTGGAATGACATTGAGAAGGCTTTGAGCTGTGCTTCATTAAAAGCATGAGGAGAGGGATGCTGTGGAGGCTTTAAGCTGTTATACTTGGTTTTGGCACAAGACTGTGGTTTGTCTGCACTGCTTCTGAGACCCACTTCGGTGGGGATAGCCAATACTCAGTTGGGTGTGGACTCCTTGGAGGGTGACTGAGGTTATCTCCTGAGAGCCCACACAGACCTCCCTGCAGCCCAGCCCTAGCTACTTGAGGGTGGAACATGCCAGTCTGGGGAGCTGGAGTGCATGCTGTGTTCCTCACGAAAGACCAAATCCTTTGTTTTAAGAAAGACTCTTTGTTCTCCTGGCTCACAGAGGGCACGGTGGAGGAAGGTCTCACCACTGGTCCTGAATACACATTCTAATCCCTTGACACAGACCCCTTGGCCACCCTGAGGTGCCTGAAACCAGATCCCAAACAGCTAAATGGGCTGGCTGGAACTTCAGCCACAGATCTGCAGATGTCAGGCACTTACAAAATAAATGTATTTAGGCATGTCTTCTGAAGAGGTCCCTCAAATCAATTATTTCCTTTTAGTAAGACCATTTGAGACAAAATGACACCAGCTTCTGCTAAAGAGAGCCATCTATGCTATTTCTTCAGTCCAGGCTGTGCAGGATCTACCCAAGCATCCTGGTGAGAGTCCACGATGAGAGGACCTCATCTTCAGAGGAGTCTCACCAGCAGTGTTTCTTAAGATGCCTGAGGGTCTGCCTGTTCCTCAGTGCTGTTCTTGTTCAGCTGAAGTTTTCAGCTCTGATCTCTTGGACTTTTCTGAACTTTTTTCTCTGCTGAAGGTAGTCCTAGACAACTCAACAAAGACTTCCTTCAGGTCATGTGCTGAGTACAATGAAAAATCATCTCAGCCCTTGTCCATCTGAACTCAACCAGACTCAAGCAGTAAGAATGCAGCCCCAAGCTTTCCCCTTGGGCTGGGGATGTCCACCACCTATTTCAGCAGGGAAGCCAAGGGGGTGAGGAGGAAAGGTCTGCAGTTCATGACCAGGAACAGCTCTGCACAAACCTACACAGGAGCCCTTTCCTCAGGGTACAAGGCCTTTCCCAGGAAGAGGCTGCTTCACAGTTTTGGAGCTATCCATGCACAGAAAGGGCAGAGCTATAGGCCTCCTCATGTAGGAACGTCAGCTAGCTGACGTTACACATGGTGGGCCAAGAGAAGGTGAATCCCTCTGCTGAGAGTGCCACAGGCATGGAAATCTGGAGGGATGGGGTTGCTCCATAGGTTTTTAGTGAAGAGAGTGTCACTTGAATGGCAGACATAATCAGTCTGCATGCTATGGGTCATGCTAAGCAATAAGTTGAGGGAGAAGCAGAAAGGTATTTCTGCCTTTTGAGATTGCCATGACAAAAAGCAGCCATCAGAGAAATATGAAAGTTACTGCCTGTGTTGTGAAAAAACTGACTATGACTGCTGGAGACTATCATCTCCAGTTGCTCTCAGGCTCAGGGCATCCCCATAACAGACAAAGAAGAAGTCTGCCAGTACATCTGTTTAGAGAGTCTTCCCTTCATGGCAAGAACATTGTGTGGGCTTTATCGTTATTCCCGCAAAGCAGCTGAGATCTCTGGGGGAAAGGATTAACAGAGATGACTAATGAAGAGCATTGTGGGGAGAAGCTCACCACTGCAAAGTAAATGGTGGACTTGTTAACCAATAGCCTAGATGAGGGTAAGTGAAGGCACACCTGAATTTGAGGAATAGAGTGGAGAACAAACTGTGAACAAGTGATTGCTGTTCACACCCTCAGCCCTTCATTAAGGAGTGGTGAAAACTCACACTGTCATCCAGTAATTTTAGAGAAAGCATTTTCTTTGGCTCTTTTGATAATTCTTTTGTATTCTTTCTCTTCTCTCTCCTTCCCCTCTTCCCCCCCAATAGCTTACTGTTTGATTAAACCTCTTTCATTGCTCTTTCATTGCTTGTTCTGAAAAAGAAGAGTTTGTTAAGCATTGGCATGGAATAACTGCACTTCCGCAGCTTGGCCTCTACAAGCTAAAGCCAATGCTGCTGCCCAGCAAAGCCTAGAAGAAGAGTCACAAAGGCAAATTCTGATTTTAAAACGTAAGATTCTTCTGTGCTTGACACAAACTCTTTGAAATTTGGAGGGACTGGCAACAACACGTAAGCATGTGTAGTAATATAAACATTGCTGTGATGCCAAGTCTACACATAAGAGGGAGCAGAAATGTAAAATCAAATGGTTTGCAAAATCTCCATTGGTTGGTGCTGTGTTAACAGCAGAATCCTGCAGGTGGTGTGAATGTAGTAAACCAGGCAGGAGAAATAAGCAAACCCTCTGCAACCTCAAAAACTGTATAGAGAGATACTGTCACAGTGACTGAAATGAGGAAAGCACAACTAAGATTTTCTTCCAAAACAGTAATAGAAGTTACTGCTGTTTAGTAAATATTTCTTCTCCCATTCTTGAGTAAAGACATCTGTAGTTAAGATATCTGAGTCAATAGAAGTTACTGCTGTTTAGTAAATATTTCTTCTCCCATTCTTGAGTAAAGACATCTGTAGTTAAGATATCTGAGTCATCTGCTTTTTGCTGAAGCCTTTGGGTAGTATGGTATTTTCCTGCACAGTTGTATTACTCTTGCTCTGGTTTGCATTCTTGCTATGAACTTGGATGTGAGGGACAAATACCCAGATAACTGCATACAAAAGCTCTGCACTGTCTCTCTGAAGAATCAAAAAAATGCTCAAAGAAGTGAATCTAACTTAAAAAAAAATCAAGTCAGATTAAAGGAAATCCAACCTACAGATCTACAGTCATAGACTATTGGCCCAACAATGAACTCAAAAGCAGCCAATTACTGCATGTTACACTGACCAGAAGCCGTTGCCTTGTGTGGAAGCGGGAGGTGATGGATGTATCTCTGTGCATCTGTTAGTGAAAGTCACTACCAGATGTAAGCACAATTCAATAGCACTCCTGCCCCTAAAACAATACAGAGAGTTTATCCAGAGGTCAGTTTGTATTGATCTCCAAGGAAAGGGTCACTTAAAGTTGAATCCTCTGAAAACAAACATGAAACCTCATCTTGCAAAAACTTAGATATTAAACACAGAAACTAAAATCCCTTTTGCCATCATGGAGTTTATTCTGAAAGAAAATGGGCATCTGCATCCTCTTGAAGCAAGGTGTTTATGAACATGCTTTGTGCAAAACACACATACCATACCTTTTGTTTCAATGCCATTTCTTGGATGCTTAAAATTTAGTATGAGCTTTTTTGTTTGCACCCCATGGAACAAAAAGGACCCAGTCACCCCAGAGCAGAAGTTTTTTAAAATTTATAATTGGTAAGATTATGATGCTAATAATAATTGCAGATACATAGAACACATAGATGATTTCTTCATATACTGCAATTCTGGCTGTGTAAGGTATATGTTTTGTGTGTATTTTGGTTCTCAGATGTAGAAGGATGGATGCTGCAACCGTCTGTTGGTAAATGTGAATATCATGACCAAAAAGAAGACGTGTTGTCATCCAGAAGATTTCCAAAGCTTTAACAAAGAAAGTAGCTGAGAAAAACCTAAAATGCTGAGCAGGCTAAGTGGTGTAATAGATGCTTAGCATCAAATTAACAGAGGAGTTAACTTTTCATCATCTGGATTTCTGGTTTTGAGGCAGAAGTTTTCCTTCCTTGAGCCTGTCATGATGCACCCTGAGAGTGCCAGATCTCTTCACATGGTTAAATAGCATCCTCTGGAGAGGTGTAAGCTGTGTGCATGTCTAACAACATGGAAGTTAAAAAAAAAAGAAAACTGCCTTTGCAAAAGTATTTTAAAGGTCAGAACAAAGGAGGAACTGAAAAAATTGCAAAACTTATTCCCTCCAAGTAAAAAGAAGTATGATGGAAATCATATTTAACAGACCATTTGACATGTAGAAACACAGCTGTGTGAAATGGTTGCTGGCTTCTGCAGGGAATTCAAGACTAAGAAACTATCTCAGGAAAAAAGGAAATGTAATAGATGCTTTAAAGCTGCTTAAAAATAGAACGAAAAACCTATTAATAAGATATTGCTTTAAAATATTTTCCACCCTATCTGTCCCAGGAAATGGGATCCACTACTAACTGTTCATGTACAAAACGGAACAGTTCCTTGCAAATCATTGTGCTCAAGTACTAAGTGCTCAGTGTGTTAAGAGTTCCAGGAGAAAAAATGAACATCTAATTTACCCTTATTATAAGCTAATGTTGAAAGATGCCAGGCTAGTCTGGAGTAGTCATAAAAGCACAGCATGCACGTTGGGATTGAATGCGTGTTGGTGGCCTGGGTATTTTTAATTGGAGAGTAAGTCAGCATCCCATCTGGCTTATATTAGCATTGCTCCACTGACCCAAGTGGGGTTGCAGCAATGTGTAGCACCTGAAGACCTAGACCTGTGTAAAGGCAATTTTCAATGAAAGGACCCAAAGTGCCAGCTTCTCTGTGGCAGGCTGTGCTCACAGGCACATGTCCTGCTCTGTGAAGGTGGATGTGCCAGGGAGCTGTGGGAGCAGGCTGCTGCTCCAAGGCTGGCACCATCACAGAGCTGGTTGGGGCACCAGCAGCCAAATTCTTCAGTGCAGGGAGAAGACTCATTGGGATCCTTTGGGCCAACAGTTAATGGATACTTATGATGACAGGCTAAAAGTTCTGGAATTAACATTAAATACTTCAAGGGTCAGATGGTTCACTATGATTAGGGATCAGAAGCATATAACAGCTACTGGTATAAATTGTTTTATCACTTTTTAAGGGACAACCATGTTCTTCTCTCTGACCAGCCAAAAAGTTTAGCACCAAAAGTCTCTGTAGAAGAATCAAGGTGGAATAGAGGACTTGTACCCTCCTAATTTGTCAGTTCATCACAATCATGTTGGATGTACTGTCCTGCAAAAAAAACTTGTGAACAATTTGCTATTGCCTATTCCTGTTATTAGCCCTTGCTGAGCACTTATGGAGGCATTTTTTATTCTTATTTATTTATTATTATGTTCTACCTGATCTCCCTATTTGTTGACAAGTTTCATTCCAAATGAGATCAAAATTAGTGTATTTTTAGTAGCTGGTTCTGTTTAAGTTTTCCCATTGGGACTGCCCAGAACAATTGCTGAGAACTAGATTTTAAGTAGTCTTAAAATATGAATTTATTGCTATAGTTATTAAGTTTAAGAAGGGGGTCCTCTCTTATTTTCCTTCTCCTTAGAGTAACTACCAGTGTAAAACTTCCACGATTCTCAGTGCTCCTCTCTGTGTTTCATCATTGCTAATAGCATAAAGCAGCTTCCAACATTTGCAAGCAACCTTTTGCCTTCCAAAAATCTTCTTGACAAAGGTTAATTAAAACTTTTGGCAGAGTTAAGCATACATAAACCACACTTAGTTAAATACACACATGGCTACAACACACAGAAGACAGAATACATAGAGTTACACAGGGCTTGAACATGCTCAAACAAGATTTTTAACAAGATGCTGTTAACATGCTTGGGCTGAACCTCCATCCCAGACCTTCCCTCAGCGCTGCTTTGCTATCATGCTGTGTGATCAGCAAGGCTGCAAGCAGCAGTTGACTTACCAGTCCACTCTTGTCTTGGTGGCTGGGCCACAGCTTTCTCTGCTAGCCCTAAGGCTAATACATGCTGAACTGTTGATAAGGTGGAGAGTGAGATGACTAGAAGCATAAAAAGAGATGCATCTGAAAGCTGTACATGGGTAATTCAACAGGTATTTGAAGAAGAAATCAGGGCAAGATTTCTGCTAGCAATACAGTAGTGTTTGCTCCTCCAGATTTCATCAGTGCTGGCCCTCATTCAAACTTTACTCTACAAACACTGCAGAAAGCTTCCTGCCAGTGCTCCTTTCCCTTGTGCCTCCTGTGCACTTTGCCCAAAGGGAACCCAGCCTGGACCGCACCAGGATGTTCATGGAGAGCCAAGATGGTGCAAGCAGCTGTGGCTGGGCTTGCTGTCATTGCTGCTGGTGTTCCAGCAGTGCTGGCTCCTCACTGCCAGGTGGGGTACAACAGCACAGAGCAGGTGTGTGGGAAAGATTTGCTACCAGAGGAAGGGGGAAAGAGGTTAAGCCGACCTGGGGGGAGATGGGGGAGACACCCTGTTCAATGCCCTGAGCTCCTTGTTCCTCTTCCTTTTACCTTTGCCCCACACAAATGAGAATGACTCCCTGGGACTCTCAAAGCTGCTCATCTATAGCAGTACTTTGCCTCTTGGGTAGTTTGTTATGCACTGTGAAAGCTTAATCTGAAAACAGAAACACTGACTAAGCAGGTATGGAGTTGCTTGCAAGACTCTTTTTTATGCCTGCAAAGCACTGACAGCATATTTGTTTTGAAAGAATTGCTTTTCTAATCCCTTATTGTTTTATGACAGCTGACATTGCCTGACTGGATGCCAGCACATATGAACTTCTAAATGGTTCTTACATCTTATTTTATAGTCCATTCTCTGTTTTGAAATAAACTGCCTACTAAAAAGAAATCAGTTTCCTTGTGTTTCTGTTGACATGTACATGGGTTTTGAGAAAGGGAAGTGGGCATGCAAGGAAATTCAGAAATTGTGAAAGGGAAAATATTTGGGCTATTTTTCCTTCTTTCTCCAATACATGCAACAACAGACCTATTGAAATTCCCTTCCTCTTCTGCCTGGGTTTATCTGGGCTTGCCTGCATGTTGCTCTAGTCCAGCCAGTTTATACAAAGCTCCAGGGTATCACTGTTCCTGCGGATGACGCTCACTGTCACACCCCCTTTTCTTCATGTGCTCCTCACATTCCCGTCTCAGGGTCACATCCGGATGGGACAGCTGGGGCAGTGGGATGCTCTCAGGATGCCCATGGGCTTTGCCACCAGCTGGTGAGCCCACAGAAAGCACCTCTTAGTCTTGCACTTATCTCAAGCCTTGCATCCCTCCTGTGCCTGCAGCTTCCAGAGCCCCTGGTGTGCTGCTCCCGCAGCTGTGCATACACAGGCTGAAGACATGGTGTCTCAGAACTACTCTCTAAGGGTGGCAAAGGTTAGGTTCTGCATTCTGCATTACACGTCGTTGGCTTCTGGCAATGTTTTGTCAAGAGTGATCACCCTTTGTTGCCAAACACTGCTGTCAAATTGGATCTTAGATCTTATTAAACAGAAATCATTTTTCTTGTGTATGTCCCCAGTTGACTGCTTGCTGCTGTATCTGTGTGGCTGATGTGAGGTCACTTGTGGTACAGAAATTTGCTTTAAATGCCCAGGTCAGAGCATCACATTAACTGTACTGAAACTGTCTGAGTGCACAAAGCCAGGGCCAGAGCACAGCCTCCCGGACCTCCTGCACTGAACACCAGGCACACCCAGCCCGCACTCCTAACACCTTGGCCTTGGCCTTGGCCTTGGCCTCTTGTCTCTCATCCTAATTCCTCACTCCGTTTGTGTGTGGTCAGCCATGGCTTTCTTTCCTGACTTGAAGGGATTTGGGTGATCGCATTTACTGCTCGGCATCCCGCAGAAGGGAGGCAGTCTCTTTTACCATCCTTGTGCTGAAATGTCAATAAATGGATGAATGAATAAATAAATAATGCCTTTTGGCAGAAGGATTGGGAGTAAAAAAAAAAAAAAGAGGGGGGAGTGAGGGAGTGCTTAAAAGAGCATTTCTGATGATACTGAGTAAATGCAAGCAGGGACACTGAAGTGTCACAGTTGTTTTGCAGTGCACTCTTAGCTAGCACAGCAGATGGCATGGGGTCTGCTGGCTGCAAGCACAGGCTCAGAGCTTCCTGGTCTCCCACGTTCTCACTTTGAGGGTTAAAATGAGGGGCTGCATTACCAGAGGCCACAAGATGGCCTTTGGCCTTCCACTTTTCTTCTTCTAATGTGTCCATTTTACCTGTCTGTCCCTCTTTCCATTGTTCTGACCTCAGAGGTTTGGCGGGGGAGTAAGGAAAATGGTGAATGTTTTTGAAAGGCTTAATGACCCCCGCTGTTTAGCTGATCAAACCACTTAAATACGAGAATACTTTCCTCACACGTACTGGTGGTTAAGCGGCTGAGCTTGCGAAGTGCTGCAGCGGCCTCGCTGGCCCCATGCTGCCTCGAGCCTGGAGCAGGTAGGCAACCACGAGACGCCTGTGTTTTATTTCTGCGCTTCCTGTTTTAACGTCGCGCTGCATTTCCAAAGGCCGTCTGGCAGCAGCTTTGATTTTGGGAAAGAACTGGGGTTTGCCTCTAGGGTAGAGTCTACAATAGGAAAAGGCAGAAAAACAGTCGTACCTCCCCGTCGGGGAATCGAACCCCGGTCTCCCGCGTGACAGGCGGGGATACTTACCACTATACTAACGAGGAGCTGTACAGCAGGGCGTTCCGCAGCCTTCCCTACATGGTATTTAATGGCTGGCAGCTCGGCGGTGACCCTGCCCTGGCCCCTCAGCGCCACCATGCTTGTCGGTGCGCTCCGGGAGATGTAGTTCTTCGCGCGCTGCCCTCGCCGTTCCAGGGGAGGGCGGGACTACGCGTTCCAGGGGCCGGCGCGCGGCACGCTCCTCCCTCCCTGCGGCGGGCGAGACATGGCGGTGGCCGACTCCAGCTCCTTCGCGTCGCCCTCGTGCTGCCTGACGCGGCACCTGTACCTGCGCTGCCGCGTGGACTTCGGCGCGCGGGCGCTGCGGGGCACGGCGGCCTTCACCGCGCGCGCCGAGCGCGAGGCGCTGCGCTGCCTGGTAACGGCGGGTGCGGGGCAGGAGGAGGGAGGGGCGACCCTCGCGCTGCCCGCGGCCGGGCCCGCGCTGAGGGGCAGCGGCGGGTCCGCGCTCGTAGCCGCCTTCCCTTAGCTGCCTCTTCCGTTCGTTCGGCCGGCCCGGCCCGGCCGTCCTTGCTCCCTCCCTGGGCCCTCCGCTCCTGCCCCCGGCTGGGCTGCAGCCTCTGCAGCGGTCGGCCCCGTCACCCGCGGGTAGCGGCGCTCGGCGGCCCGGGTTTCCTGTGCCTAGAGAGAAGAATATAAATATGTATTTTAAATATGTACTTTCCTGTTAAAACGGCGAAGAGCCTGTTGCCGAAAAAATGGGAATAAAGGAAAGCTATGCTTATGGCTTTTCCACACGTGTTTTATTGTGGCAGTTTCTTTCTCAGTTACCGATGCACATAAACGTGTGAACCTCCTCGGCGTTGCTTTATATGCGAAGTGAAGCTTGGGGTTTGTGGGTTTGCTTCATGCAGCCTCCATGAAATCATTTTGTGATTGGCACTTATTTTTAGACAAAAAAAAACAAACCCAAACATCCTTTTAACAACGAAGAGTGAAACTTCACTCGTGCTGCATGTGAGAGTGCTGCATTATTTAACTCGTCTTCTGTTGCATCTATCCTAGTTCCAGGATGGAAGCCTTAGCAGGGTAGTTTCCATCATGCCCTCATTTTATAGCAGCACTATGAAGTCTTTCACCTTTGTAGTTTACTTAGTGAACTCCTGTTTTCACTTTTATGGTCAGAAGTTGGTTTTCTTCCTTTTCCCCCTCCAGTTTTGTAAGCTCCCTGCTGCTCCCCTAAAATGCTGGTTCCCAGTACACAACATAGGTACTTGATTTCTCTGATTCTACTGAGTAAATACTTTTTCCTTTGGAGAGGCATGTATTTAAGGTTATTACACTACTAAAGAAGCTTGTAATATTTGCTTCATTACAGGTGTTGGATACAAAAGACGTACAGGTATTTAAAGCGACTGTGAATGGACAGGATGCAACATTTGTTTTTGGAGAAAAGCACAGTTTCAAGGGGACCCCCCTGGAGATCATGCTTCCTTTTGAACTAAGAAGGTACATACACACTGTTGCTTCTTCCTTTCGATGTTTTCCAAAATGCGCTGAGTAATCCATTTGTCTGACTGTAGAGTCATTGTGTAAACCTTGCAGAGGGACTTATAAATAGGGGTTTGCATTTATTTGATGTGATCTTGTAGATGACTTTGATATCTGGCTTTCATTAGCCGAGACTTCAGGAGGTTTTGTACCCCCAGGTCTTTTATCATGTATGAAATGACTTGCTAAAGTAAGCAGCAAAATTATGTGCAGTGTGTCACAATTTTTACAGTGCTTCTCATTAGTAATACTCTTTCTGCTTCAACTACTTGAATTTTGTCATGTTCAGAATTGCTACAGTATTTCACATGTGAAGTTGCATACTTTGCCTTTCTTTCATGCAAGGGTTGATCCTGTCTTTCTGTAGAACTGCAGGTTATCACTAGGATTAAAAAGAAACATGTTTTCAAACAATAAAGGCTGTGTTGTATTGACTATGCTAAACCAAGTCCCTAAAAACTGGAACTTGAGTTTCAGCAGCATGATGGAGACAAGAAATCATAATCTACCACCCAAGTTGGATCAGTTTAAAAGTTGTTATCAAATTACAGTACATGTTTTGATAGTTTGCTATGTATGTTGTAACTCCATGGTATCTTGCCTGCCAAAGCTGAGAGCTCTGTATCAGAAAGTTTCCTTGTTTGAATAAAATAGGATACTATGTTCTTACTATTTTGTTTCCAAAACTGGTTACTACTTCTACAAACTACTACCTCTACAAACTACAAACTACAAACCTCTCCTGTTGCTGCTGTCCTAGGAATTAGTGCAGTTTAGAACCACCTGTAATGTGGAAGAGAAAGGGATGTTATACAGTGTCAGTCCCTTTTGGGGAAATGCTTATGATCTGATGTGAAACTGAACAAGCGAAGTATGTGAACAGGCTTCAGCAGAAACATGGCTTCTTTTGGTTGACTTTCAGCCTTCTGTTTTTCAGTTTTATTGCTAGATTTCCCTGTAAGGGGAAAAAGCTACGAAGAGGGATTTGTGAGTTGTGATCATAAGAATTTATATCTTGTGTGAGATGTAGTACTCATTAAAAATCAGTGAAAAGTAAAGGGTAGGAGTTAAAACTAAAAATCTGACTGTTCAGTAAGCAGTGCGCCTTAAGGCAATACAAATTATTTTCTCCTTTCTTGTCAAAGATGTACTTTGGAATGCTGGTTATAAAGCAGATATGTATACCAGGCAGCTTATCTAGTGTCCAACTCCTCTGGTTAGCTGAAGTGTGTTCTGATTTGTGGCTGGATTGTTAAATCCAGAGAGTTGCACACCTAACCTAGAATTTACTGATAACAAAAGCCAGTACTTCTGTGTGCTTTTAGTGGCAGTGATGGTTATGATATGTCCTTACAAAATAAAAGTATGAATGTTTAAGGTTTGTGTGTGTTCTTTTGTTAGCAAGCTGGTCTTATACTTACATGTAAAATGTTAGGTAGTTGTGACAAAAAAATATATATGTATATAGCTGGTCCAAATGGTTTAAAGAAAAAGTCCATGTTCTCCTTAAAGAGAGGAGAGGAAAAGTTTCTAGTTAATAAAAAACAGAAGTGTCTTGGGACATTCAAATAAACCAGGTAATCTTTGCTATCATAGTTGAAAGGGAAGAGTTTTTAATATGCTGCTTGAACTTATTTTTAGTGTTTTTGAGACAATGCTGCAGACCTATTTTCTAGAAATCATTGTAGAGGAATTTCAATAGCGATGAGGAGTTGTGTCAAAACAGTCTGATTGTATTCCTTATTACACAGGGGACAAGAAGCTATTGTTGAAATCTCTTTTGAAAGCTCTCCAAACTCTTCAGCTCTCCAATGGTTTACTCCAGAGCAAACTTCTGGAAAGAAACACCCATTTCTCTTCAGCCAGTGTCAGGTTGAGTGGATAATTATTTATTTTTAATTTTAACACTTTTTATTTACATACCACTGTAATTCTCCCAGGTTTCCAAAGAGGCATAGAGCAGGGCTGGTAGGTATAAGTACAGTAACCCATAACCTCTAATTGCATGTGTATCAGAGGTCCTAAATGAAAGCACTTAATAAGTCAGGACATTGCTGAGATTTTATTATATGTTTGGAATTTAAGAATTCCAGAACTGCTTTACCCTCTCCAGTATTCTTGTTGAAGTACGCACAGTCCCGTGTGATCAATATATGTGGCTATTGATCTGTCTTACCTACCATTATTTCTGTCAGAAAAGTCTTAACTATGAAAACTACTATAAGCTGTGATAGGAAGAATTTGCAGATTCGTTTGCAGATAACAGATTTTCTCTATTTCCAGTACTGTATATTGGTTTGATTTATTTCTAGTCCTCTGTATCAGAAGCATTGTTATGTTTTAGCTCCCTTTTTTTTTTTTTTTTTCTCCTGTCCAGGCTATCCACTGCAGGGCCATCTTTCCATGCCAGGACACACCTGCTGTGAAACTAACCTACTATGCAGAGGTAGATGAACTTGTCGTGTCTAACTAAAGACAACTACTACAATGGGTGAATTATTATTCTAGGCCACATTCCACCAGCTACAAAAAAATAAAACCAGAGAATATTGACTTTTAGCTTAATGTAAGAGCCAAAACCTACTTATCTTCCTTGTGGCACTTCTGTAGCCTTACCATTTTCTTTTAGATATATCATCTCATTTTTCGTTCACATATATCTTTCTTTCCAAAATAAAAAAGTAAGTGCCGTAGTAGGAAAGAATTATGTTTTTAAGTCAGGAAAAGCTGACAGTAAGACAACAAAGAGTGCTGTAAAGTATAAATACTTTAAATGACTCTCATGTATGCCATAAGTAATATGTTCCGTTTACATAGATACATAGTCAGGGGATCTTTGCAGTCCTGGCATAAGCAGTCTGATTGTTTTAAGGAAGCAAAAAGTGAGATGTGCAATGTGATATTACAATTCAGTAGTCTGAAGAAAGTGAATTTTTTTAATTTCTGTCAGAGGTAATCCTTCTGGTTAATTAAATATTGCCAGCCTTTAAGATAGTATTTTCTATATGCCATACATCCTACTTGACCGAGAGGACTTAACAACAAATCTGGGCTACTCTTTTTGCTATCACTGTTTCTAGTATATTGTATGGTCCCTTGTGGCAGTTGACTTCCTCATAGTTGGGTAACCTTTCAGATATCAGTTCCTAAAGAGCTGGTGGCTCTTATGAGTGCTAATCGTGATGGAGAGATGCCTGACCCAGAGGACAGCAGTCGGAAGATATACTGTTTCAGTCAGAACGTAAGTGCTCTGTACTAGTAAGCAGATGCCTAAGGCATCTTATTCCCAATGCGTGCAGTTCTGCTTTCTCTGTGGAGCCAAAACATTTGCCTCTGTCTAGTGCATAAGGCTTCTATAAGTTATCCACGTGTCCCTTGTTAATTTCTCTTATTATTATTATTAGTGGTAGCAGCAGTGGTTTTGTGTTATACCTTAGTTACTGGACTGTTCTTATCTCAACCCGTGGGAGTTACATTCTTTCGATTCTCCTCCCTGTCCCTCCGGGAGCTGGGGGAAGGAAGAAGAGGGGGGAGGGA